AAAAGGTGTTTTTGTCTATGCATACATTTATATGCAAATTAAAGATACATTCGCTACGCAGAGGTTTTTAACATATTGAAATTATGAACAAAATGGAATAAAATTTGCCGTTCGAGATTAAATGATATTAAAATCATTAATTTGATTTTTTTTCAAGCCAGCCACACACACTATGTACAAAGACCCAAACAATAAAATTCATGCGTTTAATTTGAATGACCATTTTACGTCTGGCTGATATGTACAAATGATTTTACAATAGAAAAAACAAAGAAATTCTCTAAGGAACATAAAGGAAGATATTGACCATCTTAAACGCAGAATGGGATATCGAAATATATCTACTAAAGATAAGTAGCCATCAGTTTATTCAGAAAATGGAAGCAATATAATTTGATAGCGAAATCTTCCCCGAAGAGGACGTCATCATAAATTAAGTTCAGTTGCTGCTAAGTCAGAAAGTAACTTAAAACACATCGACTAATCAGGGAGAATTTCAGAAGTACACGAAAGTTTCTGGGATCGAGATGAGCAAAGATACAATTACTCTGACTACGAATCCTAGAACAACCCTCTTCTGAAGGTCACTTATATAAAATTTCGTCTATACTTTGCTTATAATCCGGCACCAAGTCGGGAGATTGGCGGTATGAAGGAGCGTGGAATGAATGAAGTGCTGTGGTACCCAGGTCCGCGCTCCCCCAGGATGGTATCACCTGTTAGAACTCCAGCTATGAACGAATTGTGAATCCCAATATCAACGGTATATCTTTATAGTAAAATGACCAAAAATACATTTATCTAGCAAAATGACAATCAATATATCACTAAAATAAGTATGAAAACAACTGTAACATATTTTTATAAAAAATATCATCAATACATTTTTGTAGTGAAATTACTAACAGTACTTAAAAAAAATAACAGCAATACATTTTATGACCTACAAATTATATCTAAAATGCCTACCTGAAAGTATAAAATTATGAATAAAATATATTCAACTGAACCTATCACATTATTTACAAAATAATTAGATTTTGGTATTCAATACCTCGTAGAGGTGTTGATATACCACTAAACAAAATCACCCAACTTTGTTTATATAATCTCAAGATTTCTTCATTCTAAAACAAAAATCTCTGAAAAGACAGATATTAAACTCTTTGATGGAAACCGTTCAAAACATATCTGGAAGAAAACACGCATTTCATATAACCCTCAAAAGATTATCTTAAAATTTGAACATGACGCCTGTTAGACATTTTGACGGTCGTCTTCGAGTATAGAATCCAGAGGTTGGCAGTGAATATTTCGGAGAGTATAGGTAAAAGCGTAGTTCAGGTTCGCAGTGGATATCGTAGCAAAGTAGCAGAGCGTAGTTCTTCCTTCTATCATCTTCGCCTGTCAAGTTGGCACTGGTCTTTCCGGTAGGGTAAACAAAAATGGCCGCCTTTATACACGACGGATAGAATGTTCTGCGGCTTCTGATTGGTTAACCCTCTATTGGTAGACTATAAAGCGAGTTGAGTCATTTTGACTGGCTCACTAGTTACATACTATACACAAAAAGCTGTAACAACGCCGAAATACAGGGTGTCCGCCATCCCCACAAAACTGATATTCAATCTATCCTAGGTGTTAAATAAATGCGTAAAAACAAACTAGATTGACTCCTGTAGCCTTATATCAATGGGAATATACCAGGAAGTTGGATCGGGTATACCAGTGATAACAACAATGTAATATTGAAATGGCCACCAGGTTTAGCTGACGTGATTTTTTTCTATGCGGTTATGTGAAACGACAAGTCAATATCCCCCCATTCCTACAAGCCTAGAGAAACTTAAATAGAATCACTGAGGCGCTGGTGGATGTTACACAACACATGCTACAGTAGCAGTAGCTTCGCTGCCGTGTCACATGTGGTACGTATATTGAACATTAGTTTCATGAAATCGGTTATAGAATCTACATACCTTTGAATATGTTTGAATGTTTTTAAATAAATATTTTATTATGAAGCCTGTTTAATTTCATTTGCCTGGAAGATATAGTTATTCAAATGTTCACATTTTAAATTATGTCAATTTTGCCTGGGGTTATTTGGGGTTCTTTTTCTCCTAGGTGTACATCTGCACTATAGATAAGTGAAGCAGCAATAGACAATGAAGATTTGTATTGTGGAATACTAGAGATGCATTGGCGTATTCTGTAAAAAAAAAAAACTTCAAATATTCAAGGTTTGGTGATTTCAACATGACAATAATTCAAAACATGCGGCAGTCAACACATAAGAATGGTTAGACGCTATAAAAATAAGAGGTTTACAGTAGCTAAGTTAATCTTTTTCTTTTCTTCGATCGTGACTCTCCACGATTTCCTGTCTTTTGTAGCTGAATAATGCTTGTCTTTTCGCTATCTCTTCTAATCCTTGTTCTGCTAATAATCTAAACAATTTCCTGCGCTGCTTTCCTCTGACCATCTTGCCTTCAATATGTCCTGTGAGTGTTAGGTTTTCTAAGCCCTCTCAGTCGCTTGCGATAAATCTCATAGAAAATCTATGGAAGGTGTTTAGAATTATAGTTCCTCACTAAAATACCCAATATGTGAACAATCTTAAGATGATATATAAAAAAAAGTTATGAACAAAATGGGAGCTAATTTCTGTGACAAGGTTTTTGCAAATTAATCCAAGAAACTGCCAGGAGTTTTAAATCGTGAATTTTAACTTTTATGCCAAATTCCCCATCGACAAAATTTTCTTTATTTCTGCATTTGCTTTATTTACATGACTATTCCTCTCATCTTTGTTTTATTATCAGAACTTTTCGGCCATTGTGTTATCCAGCCTTCATCAGCTTGTTGTCCATCTGGCTAACCTACAGGGAATTTCAAACTGAACATGTCTTTTAATTGTTCTCATTCCGCTGACCATGGCAAAGATATTTGGTCAAGTTCTTTTTAAATGTTATCAGTTACTGCTACCACGTTCCCACTAAGTCCACCTGATGTCACCTCATTTACAAAACAACGCTTTAATGAAATAGCCTATGGCATGAAGGTCAAAGGGCGCAACAGTCGAAATATTGTGATAATAACGAAAAAGATGAAGACAATAGTACGCATACAAATAATGTAAATAATGATAACTCCTCCACCTAAAAATTCAGGCAGAATTTATTATTTCTCATTAAATATAAATTATTATTTCGCCTTAAATGTAAAATACACTCACACATTTTTCGTTTGTAGCCTCATTAGAATATTTGAAAATTTTAATGGTTCTTATACTTTGACTTAATGAAATTTCCCCTAAATGATAGTTTTTTTTTTCAAATCAGGGTCGATGGTTACTACCCACAAATTCCCTGACTGGCTGAGGGGGAATCCTGATTGAGGGCCTCCTACAGTGTTTTATGACCCTCGCTATCTTATCAACATTTACTTTTTTCTACTTACATTTTATACGTTACAAATTAAACTAAACACAACTGATTATTAAAAGATGAAGAAATTTCCTTTATTTTGACGTCATTTTGGGGTCATTATTTTCCAAATCCTTGAATTTTATTTGCACATGATAAGTCTAAAAAAAAACTATATAAAATTTATTATTATTAATCCTTAATGCTGAATGTGTCAAAATTATTCAAATTTTTAACAAAAAAAATCCGAAGAACATTGTTGACTTAAGATGGAATGATCTATTATAACATTTCTTTTATTTGTATTTAGATACATTGTATTTATTTTCAATTTTTCTAGTTGCAAATGCTCCTTTATTATATATATATATATATATATATATATATATATATATATATAGTATATTAGTGATTAGGGAGGATTTGATAATTATGTTTAAGTAATTCATCGGAACTCAACTGGCTTGGTGAGAGTAGTCGTGGCTCCAGTGGGCACAGTACTATGGTTAAGAGAACTCAGTTGAGTTTCCGCCACGGAATATGTGAGCGAGCGGCGCTAAGTTGAGTCTGATTTGGAATCTCTTCGTCACCGAGGCCCATTTGGAACAGTTGGTATGATGTTCGCTTGACAACCCAACTGTCAGGGTTTCAATTCTCGGTAGTGGATGCGCACTGCTGGTGAGTCCCAAATATAGGACGAAACGGCCGTCTGTTGAGGTTTCTATCAGAATCGATGAATTAATTAAATATATAGATAGATAGATAGATAGATAGAGGTAACAATAAAATTTGTATTTTATATGAATACTTCCTTATGAAAATTGAGATGTAGTAGAGTTGGGCTCGTATCAAAGATTAGGGGTGCGTATAACAGATTCCGACGGGTGGGATCATTGCACCGGCCCTGGTTCCACTTAAATAAGGCAAAGAGACATAATTCGCTGCTGATGAGAAAACGGTTACTAAGAACGCCCGGCTAAACGCAGATTCAAATTCAAAAATATAAATGAGACTTGGAGCAGATTTTGCCACATTTCCAGAAGTCATCTGACGTGTTCTTGAAGATATCTAGATAGATATACACACCCAACATTTTCAGTAACTTGTAGTGTCTATGCGACGCTTTTTCACTTCTGTTATACCTACAAAGCAATCCATCGGAGACTTTAAACAGGAAACATTAATTCGTCTGAGATCTAGTACCCACATCACATATGAAACATTTCATTTGGGCATGAATTTCAGAGAACATTTTTTCACAAAATCTGTATTATATATGGTTCCAAATACTTAAATGCTTTTAATCTTTTGCGAAACATTTTGTAAATATTACTAGATATATAATTACTAGATTGTAGATATTACTAGATATATAATGAAATCTAAATAGATGGATATGTGTAGATTGTGACAGATAGATAGATAGATAGATAGATAGATAGATAAAGATGTGTAAAATGCGATAGATAAACAAGTAGATAGATAATATGTAATTTTAGCTAGATAGCTAGATAGATAGATATGTAAATTGCGATAGACAGATAGACAGTAGATAGATAGATACGTGTAATTTTAGATAGATAGATAGATAGATAGATAGATAGATAGATATGCGTAAATTGCGATAGACAGATAGATAGATAGATAGATACATAGATAGATAGATAGATAGATATGTGTAAACTGCGATAGATAAATAGACAAGTCGATAGATATGTGTAATTTTAGATAGATACGTGCACATTGCGATAGATAGAGAGAGAGAGAGAGAGAGAGAGAGAGAAAGAGAGAAAGAAAGATAGAAAGATAGCTAGATAGATATGAATGGAATGGGATAGACAGATACATAGATAGATAGATAGATATGTGTATATTGCGATAGATAAACAAGTAGATAGATAATATGTAATTTTAGCTAGATAGCTAGATAGATAGATATGTAAATTGCGATAGACAGATAGTAGATAGATAGATACGTGTAATTTTAGATAGATAGATAGATAGTTACATATAGATAGATAGATAGATAGATAGATAGATGTAAACTGCGATAGATAAATAGACAAGTAGATAGATATGTGTAATTTTAGATAGATAGATACGTACACATTGCGATAGATAGATAGAGAGAGAGAAAGAGAGAGAGAGACAGATAGAAAGATAGCTCGATAGATATGAACGGAATGAGATAGATAGATAGATAGATAGATAGATAGATAGATAGATAGATAGATAGATTTCTTCAAGCATCTATTTTTGTCTATTTCATTTGAACACTTCTCAATACCTATTATTTGCATACTAAGAGAACTACTCAGAACGATAACGGCAAATATCGAAGCGGAATTAGATTCGTTTGAGTTCTTATTTTTTTTAACACTTCCTTCCTGCCTACATATATATGTATACATACTAGTGTGTGCTAGAGTATAGTTTTACTTCTGCGCATATATGTTTCCCCTTTTTCTTATTCTTGGGTACATCTGTATATATAAACTCTCAGTTGGCAGCCCACAAGTAAACTAACGAACCTGTCTCTCCCGAAAATAACCAAACATTGCGAATATCTCAAGAAACTTTCGTGTGTCTATAATGTACGTGGGGAGACAATCATAGGAGATCTTATATCGCTTGCGTGAACAGACACTCTCCCGTGGGGCAACTCAGCCAGCAGTGCGAGGCAATTTGGTTATTTTCTATACTGTGTAGCAGTAGCATTCAAAATGGCAGACCTTTATTTGAAAACTCCTATTCCCTATGTTAATCAGATCACCACGTTTGCATTCAAATTTTGGTTGTCTGAGGTGTCTGGCTTTTCTCTAACCAAGCCCTGCCCTTGAAAGGCTAAAAAATAGATAAAGAATGAACATAACTAGGCCGCCAATGGTAAACATTAAAGTTTTCAGACTGTTTAAAGCAAAAAGTGGAATGGAAACTGAATTGTCTCTCAAGGGAACTACTTTGAAGTCAAGCATTTCTACTGTGAGTAGAGATGAAAGCGGTCTGTCAGGAAAGTGGAAAGAGGGTATTGGAAAATGCATACGGTCGATACAAAGCAGACCCCACACAGGGAACTAATTCCGTATTGCAAATGCATTTTCGATATGGTACTATCATCTGAACATACACAGTATTATTTGACATCTCAAATTCAAATTCTTTTCCAACCACCTGAAGAAGGCCGGAGCGTATAACAGACGAAACGTTGTGATAAATATGGCGATAAAGATGAGGACAATAGTCCGAATAATGTAAATAATGTACATAATACCTCATCTCAGAAATATAGACAGACACTTTTCGGGTGGTTAGGGTTTTAGGAACAAGGAAAGAAATTAAATAGACAGTTCCAAACTACTTCAAGCCCAGTGGAAAATCTGGATTTATACAAAAATAAAACCGCAGTAATATGTTTCTAAAATATCCCTATTAAGTTATTATAGGTATTAACTATAGATTTTTACCTATAAACCATTAGCGTCTACCGACCACTTTTTTTGAGAATAAATGGTTTAAATAAATAACGCGCTTGGTGGTGTGTATTTTTAATTAACTTGTAACTTACGACCGTATCACGTCAAAACCCCGGTTCCCGCCTTCTTTCCTTATTATATGCACTAGAATTTTTTAAAAGTCTATTCCTGTTAATTATAAGATCCCTTTTTGTTTCCTTTTTATCATTTTTCTCCTGATGTGTCCTTTGTATACTCAGCATCCTTCTGTAGAAAAACATTTATGTTGCCTCATTTTTCATCTGTGAGGAGACCGTTAAAAATATACTACTATATACGAGGTTCGATAATATATATATAACAGTTTAGTACTCGTTTCTTTGTTTCTAACGATCTTTTTCTGTTTCTTAATAATTTGCTTAGCTTTTAGAAGGCATCTTTTGCTAACAACCATGCATTCCGTCCTCTTCTAATTGACGTTTATTCATTCTTTACCTTTTCTTCACTGTAGGAATTATTATAGTTTTCTTTTTCTTTCCGCTCTCAACACAGTGCCATCTGCATATCTTACGTTGTTAGGATTGTGGCCGCAGATAATGAATCGTTTTAATGAGTTCCAATTCTCTCAGAATCGACTCAGTGTCTAGATTGAATAAATATGGTGTGAATACATATCCTTATGCATTTGCCTATTTTTGTATATTTACTGAATGCATTTTCTATGCGTATGCAGGTGGTTTAGTGCTACTATATTTTCTGTATTATTGAAATATCCGTCCTAAATATTTCTTCTATGCTGGACTTTATCAAATGCTTTTACACATCCGTCTGCATTTTCATTGCTCTTACTGGTATCATTCTGAGCATAAATATCACATTTCTTGTTCCAGTGTCTTTAACGAACCCGCACTTTTCTTGTCCTATTTCCAGTCTAATTCTACTGCGTACATTATTAATCATAATTCTTATGATATTTTTAATATGGTTCATTAGGCTGATTATCCGATATAATTCACATTCGTTCGCATTTCTCTTCTTAGACTGCGCTATGAAAGCGAATTTACTTAGATTTTCCGTTATCTCACCTCTGTTGTATATTTCCTTTATTATGTTTGTAATCTTGTCAATGCCTAAATCGTCTAAGGCTGCCAGCATATATTTTACAATCCCGTCTGCTTTGTTTCTATTCAATTTCACCATTCCACTTCATATTTTAATATTTTGGTCTTTTGATATTTCTGTCTATTGGCGCATGTCCTCTTTCGTTGTAGAAGAGTTTTCTGATGTATTCATTGTATTTCTGAAGTCTTTTCTCTCTTTCATAACATATTTCTCGTCTTTGAATTGTATTCATTCTCTTCATGAGCATGTATTTTATCCTGTTCTCGTATTTCTTTTATGCATATCCGCTTCATATGTGATACTCATCCTTTCTATTACTGCACATTTTTATTGTGCCATTCCTTTTTAACCTTCCTGCATTTCTTACTAATTAATTTGCGCAATGTTCTGTATTCTGTGCTGATCCTTGCCATTGTTTTTGGTCTCCTTTTCCTCATTCCGAGAATTTCATCTGTCATCCATTCCTTCTTTTTTTTTTCTTTGTCAATTCTTCTTTTGGATAATCTCAATTATTGATATTACTAAAGCTTCTTTTAATATATCCGACCTGAAGATTCTATTCTCATTTTGTTCATTGTATCTGCTTATAATGCTACCCACCTATTTCTCCTTCGTATTCAAGTCATTCAGGAGTGTGTCGTATTGTATTTTGGGTACTGCCTTGGCCATCGTCAGGTGTAATATAAGTACACATATCACTGGAGAGAAATCCCCTTCCGATGAATATAAAATTAAAATACTATTAATAATATAAAAGACGCAGATGACTCTATGTTGATGAAAGGACGTTTAGGTAAAAAGAAAATAGCAAGAATAATGATTGACAGTAAAAATAGGGAATGTGTGGCTGTTTTGCCATCTGACCATCATCAGGATCCATAGCCTAGTGTATTAAGGCGTCCTTTCGTGAATTTGATGACATAGTAATTGCAAATGCAAACTCTGGACCGGACAGAGTATATATGGAGTCAGTGATGAGCAATAACTGAACAGTACTAAAATAATCCCAAGACGAGATATTCCTGGACATGGTCGGTGACACAAAAACAATTTACATCCGTTGATTGAATAATGGGTTCACTTCAAATTAAGAAAACGTCTAAATGTGAAATAACTTTTTATTTTAAAGCTTCATAGAACATTTTAGCAAGTAAAAATAAGGACATAAAGGTAAATTATATAATTCCTAAATATAAAGCTTATTTTCGTGAAGTTATAAGTATAATTATATGACATTAGAAAAAATAGATGATCAAAAACATCAGGACGATTAACAAAATTGACAAAATCATACTATTATAATGGATATATCATATCAACTTGAAAATAGCGTTCATAAACCTTTACTTTCAATAACAGCTTAACATCTTTTGCTACATGAGCAAATTAATGTCTTATATTCATTAACAGATATTTTCTCCCATTCTCCTTTCAAATTAGTCCATAGTTCTTCGACGTTTTTAGGATTCTTTTCCTTAGCTCTTTCATTTAGTAACTTCCAAATATTCTCAATAGAATTCATGTCTGGGCTTTGAGCATGCCACTGCTTAACAGTAACAGTAACAGCTGCAGTTCTCCAATTAGGTAGAACATGTTTCTTCAATATCTATTTGTATGCAGTTACGTTAATTTTACCGTGCAGCCTAACAAGAGGTCTCGTATCAGCAGTTGAAATCATGCCAAACACCATCACACTTCCTCCTCCAAATTTAACGCTGCTTTTAATGCACTGAGGCAAATATCGTTCCTGCGTCGAACGTACCTTCTCCCGTCACAACCGAATAGGTTAAACTTTGACTCATCACTGAAATGAAGACAATCCCACTGTTCCTCTGTCCATATGACGTGTCCAGTGGTAAATTTCAATCTGCTCATTTGATTCTTTTTAGAAATGTAAGGCTTCGTAGAGGCTACTCGACTTTTCAGATTTATTTCATTAAGTCTTCGGGAAATAGTGTGCCTAATATCAATGTTAGCATTAACTCCTTTAGAGAAAGTGGTTGCTATCGCAACTCGATCCTTTTTTGATTTATTACCAACCCATCTGTCTTACCTTGCAGTAGTTTTCCTAGGCCTGCCAGGTGGTTTCTTCGCTTCACATGACCCAGTTTCCTCAAGTTTTCTTAAAATACTATGTTTTCTAAGTTCCAATGACGTCACAGATTTTTTGCCATGTTTACAATGCAAGAGCCAGTAAAGTGTCGGTGTAATTTAGTAAAACATTTATATTTTTACCCAAAAGATTTTTAAATAATGCAAAATAATTATTAAATTTTATGGATTTATTTAATCGTTCTGATGTTTTTGATCATCTATTTTTTCCGAATGTTATAGAATGATTCTTATAATTTTATCAAAATAAGTTTATTGAGCTTTACATTTTGGAATTATATAATTTACGTTTCTATCCTTATTTTTCCTTGATAAAATGTTTTTTGACGCTTTAAAATAAAATGTTATTTCACGTTTAGAATTTTCTTAACATCGTTCTGATCTTTATGCTAGCTACTGTATATATATATATATATATATATATATATATATATATATATATATATATAAGTGAACATTGAAGTCTACACTGGGATGCGACAGGCTGTTTCATGCTAGAATCGTCAGACAGCCTGACGACTGCGTCTAAGATGACATAGCCTGTCGTCTCTAAGTATTGACTCCAATGTTCACTTTTATATTTACATACACTCTATCTCTGATATTGAACACTTTATCGCATAA